ACATAGCCAGAGGGAGAAATTGTTTCCTAAGCCTATGAGCTGGAAGACAGATAATAAAAGGAGTCCATTAGGTATAGATAAATCATAACAACGAGCACCAATTGGACAATGTGATACCAAGGTGAAAAAATGATATTGATACATACCTGAATTACTTCATAAAGGTGTACCTGAACACTTCCTAACAAGAGAGGATATTTCTCTTTATTGACATTTTGCATTAGTTCCAAGTAAATATTATTCCGCTCATCATCTTGACGTCTGGGAACCTTGATACAAAATACATACCAAAAAAGCATTAAATGTTCAGTCTGAGTTCCAGATACAATTTTTGAATAAATACACCCATAAACTATATTATGCACATACTTAATGATTAGTTTTTGTATGTTATTAGCCTTACGACTTTTCAATCTCTGAGTCACAAATACCCTAATGTCAATAAAAACCAGGACCTTGTTTATGTCTAACATCAATTATAGTCTTTTTGAAATACCCATTGCCTACATTCTTTTTTAAATTTTACACAAAGTTTAGCCTTAATACTCTACTGAAACTACATTATCAAAGGTAATCCAATATCCAAAACCAATCCAAATAATCTAGATAATCCAAATATCCAATATTAAAAACATCCAACATCTTTTTCAGTCTTTTTTCTTTAACTTTTGATAAAATGTATACCATTGCCTCAACTTGGAACTCTCTCAACCTTGAACTCTGTAACACAAGACTATTATGTCACCATTAAAATTCATACATTTCCACTAGAAGAAAATCTCATGCCTCCAACCCCAAAATTCTAAGTGTCTTTAAAATAAAGTTTTTAATTGAGATATAATTGACATATAACATTGCATTACTTTTAGGTGTACAACATAATGATTTGGTATTTGTATATATTGCAAAATGATTATCACAATTGTTAACAAATTGTTAACATCCATCACCACACAGTTACAATATTTTCTTGTGATAACTCCGTTAGCAACTTTCAAATATACAGCACAGTATTGTTAACTATAATCACTGTGCTGTACATTACATTCCCAGGACTCATCTTATAACTGAAGTTTGTACCTTTTGACCGCCTTCATCCATTCCCAAAAGACTATATGTGGCAACTACTAATCTGTTCTCTGCAACATGAGTTTGGTTTGGGACTTTATTTTAGTTCCACATTTAAGTGAGATCATACGGTATTTGTCTTTCTGTCTTATTTCACTTAGCATAATGCCCTCAAGGTCCATTCCTGTTGTTTCAAATGGTACGATGTCCTTTCTTTATGACTGAATAGTATTTCATTGTGTGTATATGTGAGTGCATTTATATATATCACATTTTAAAAATCCATTCATTTGTGCATGGACAGTTAGGTTAGTTCTATTTACTGGCTATTGTAAATAATGCTGCATGAACATGAGGGCTGGAAGCAGGCACTTTTTTGAGATAGTGATTTTGTTTTCTTTGGATAAATACCCAGAAGTAGAATTACTGAATTATATAGTAGTTCTACTGTTAATTTTTTGAGGAACCTCCATACTGTTTTCCATAGTGGCTGCACCAATATACATTCCTACCAATAATGCACAGGGGTTCCTTTTTCTCCACATCCTGGCCAATGCTTGTTACTTTTTTTCTTTTAGATAGTAGCCATTTTAACAGGTGTGAAGTGATACCACGTTATGGTTTTGATTTACATTTCCCTGATGATTACTGATGTTGAACACATTTTCATGTACCTGTTGGCCATTTGGATATCTTCTTTGGAAAAATGTCTATTCAGATGCCCTGCCCATTTTTAAATTGGATTTTTTTATTGACTTATATGAGTTCTTTTATATATTTGAATATTAACCTCTTATCAGATATGTGATTTGCAAATATTTTTTTCCAATTCTGTAGGTTGTTTTACTCTGCAGAAGCTTTTTTTTTCCCCCCAATTCTGTAGGTTTCCTTTACTCTGCAGAAGCTTTTTAGTTTGATGTAGTCCCACTTGTTTATTTTTGTTTTTGTTGCTTTTGCTTTTGGTTACAAATCCAAAGGTAATCCAATATCCAAGACCAATGTCAAGGAGTTACCCCTATGTTTTCTTCTAGGGGTTTTATGGTTTAAGGTCTAATGATCAAGTCTAATACATTTTGAGGTTATTTTTGTATATGGTATAAGATAATGATGTAGTTTCATTCTTTTGCATGTGGCTGTCCAGTTTTCCCAACATCATTTATTAAAGAGATTGTCCTTTCTCCAATGATATTCTTGTCATATGTTAATGGACCATATATATGTGAGTTTATTTCTGGGCTTTCTATTAGGTTCCATTATTTGTCCATTTTTATGCCAATACCATACTGCACCGATTACTATAGGTTTGTAATATAGTTTGAAACCAGGAAGTGTGATGCCTCCAGTTCATTCTTCTTTTTCAAGACTGTTCTGGCTATTCAGGGTCTTTTGTGGTTCCTTAAAAGTTTTAGAATTGTTTTTCTATTTCTGGGAAGAATGGCATTGGAATTTTGATAGTGATTGCATTGAAATTGTAGATTGTTTAGCTAGTGTGGACACTTTAACAATATTAATTCTTCCAATCCACAAGCATGAAATATCTTTCCACTTATTTGTGTGTCCTTCAAATTCTTTCATCAGTGTCTTATAGTTTTCACTGTACAGGTCTTTTACCTCCTTCATTCAATTTATTCCTAGTATTTACATTTTTTTGATCCAGTTATAAATGGGACTGTTTTACTGTATCATGCACAACAGCATAATTTATACCTCATCCTTTGTGCTATTCTTGTCATATATTTCACTTCTAATACACTATAAATTCTACCATTCATCATCATTACTTTGTTTTAAATAGTCAGTAATATTTCGGAAAACATTTTTAAAATAGGCTTTTCTATTTTAATAGTATTTTCTTTTTACCCACATATTTATCATTACCTGTGCTCTTCATTCCTCCCTGTACATCTGAGCTTCTATCTGGGTTTTTTTTTGTTTTTGTTTTTTTGCCATTTATTATAAGGCAGACCTTCTAGATACAAAGTCTCTCAGCTTTTGCTTTTACAAACTTTTCGAAGAATATTTTAATTGGATTTAGAAATCTAAGTTGAGATTTTTCAGCACTTAAAAAAATGGCATTCCTTTGTCACCTGAATTCCAGTGTTTCTGATGGAATGTCTGCTGTTATTCACTGGTGGGTTTACCTCTATTGCTTGTTTTTACTACCTTATGAGTAGCAAATTTTTACTGTATGATGGGTATTATAAAGGATACGGAGTATAGACTCTGGGTTTTTATATCTTCCTCTAAAAAGTATTGAGTTCTTTCCTGAAAGGTAATTAATTACTGGCAGACCATATTCATCTTATGACAGCTTGGTATAAGAATGGGTCTATTTCAGTTTTTGTTCTTGGTCCTAGAGTTTAACCCTTTCTCTTAGGTAATGGTAGCTACTCCTGAGACTTGGCCTTTCTGGGATCTCAAATGAATACTGAGAATGTTCAACCAGGTCTCTTCCTTTTAGCTGTGTCAGACTCCAGTGACTCTGAAATTGTGACTTCTGAAATCTCTACTCAGCTCTCAGCTCTCAGCAATCCAGCACCTGTCTTCTGCAATTTCTCCTAGAAACTCCCTTTGCACATGCACAACTTAGGATCCGGCCAAGAACCTAAGTGGAATACCTACACAGATTTCTGGGGCTCCTTGTCTGCTGCTCCTTCCTCTTGAGTATGCTGCCTTATAAATTCTAGGCACCTTAGCAGCCCAACTCTCCTCCATTTCCTCTGCTCAGCCTCTGCCTTCTTCCCCAAGCAAGACAGCAATTTTGCTTAGGTTCCACTTCCCCATACCAGATTCACTGCCAGACAGAAATCTGTTGTAACTGTGGAGCTCACCTCTAGTGCTTCTCTTCTCTTAAGGATTGTAGCCTTCTAAGTTCCATTGTCAAATACAAGAAAATAGTTTTACAGCTATTTACAGCAAAATAGTAAATCCAATATCAGCTATTCTAGTGTGGTCAGATCAGAAATCCACTACTATTCATTCTTCAATATGAGTTTTTACATCACTTACACAACAGTTATCCAGAACGATTAAACTAGTTTAAATCCACTTACTGTTCCTTTATGTTTTTTGGTTTGCATGTTTTATTTTAAACCTAGATCTATTTTGTAAGTTTTAGCAAATTAAAGTCCTAAAATATATACAGTATAATTTTATTTTATCCTAGTTATACCATACTTAGTTAAAAGTCAAACAGTTATAAAATGATTTTAAAAAAGGAAACAATTTATTTTTTCTCCCACCTATATTAACATTTTTTCTCTTGTATTTTATGATGTTTTAACCTCTGAAGAAGCTTGAAGTGTCTATGAGTCTGTTTCTGTTTTGGGAGGGGGAGTTCAGCAGCCAGGTGAAAAAAAGTGAAGGGATTAAGAAGTACAAATTGGTGGTTACAAAACAGTCACAGGGATGTGAAATACAGCATAGGGAATATAGTCAAGAATATTGTAATAACTATGTATAGTGCCAGGTAGGTACTAGACTAATTGGCGGGAATCACTCTGTTAAGTTACATAAATGTCTAACCACTATACTGTACACCTGAAACTAATATAATATTAATGTCAACTGTAGTTGAAAAATAAAAATTAAAAAAATAATAAAATAAAATAAAATAAAAATAATAAGCTTGCTGGCCAGAGAGACTTTCCCTTCCTGGGCTAGCCAATTCCTAGAGATAGCAAAGGGCTTGGCTGTATGGAAACAATCTTTCAAATACAAACTAACCAATCCCAAATTAATAGCCCTAATCGCCTCATCTAACTTCCCCCGCCCTATATCATCCCAGGGCCTGGTACCAGGCAACTAGAGACGACTCCTACAGCCCAAAGCCTTCTGGAATTATTCAAATTAGCCAACCCTAAACTGTTGACTCTGCCTGTATTGCTTTTCTCAAGGAAAGCCTAATAAAGGCTTTGGTCTAGGCTCCCCGCTTGCTTCTATCTTCTGCCTCCCGAACACCCTGATACTTTCCCTGTAGCCCTGTGTGGTGTGGTGCAATGTGTCCAATTTTCTCGAGAAATATGAGTAATAAATTCTTCTTTCAATGGCATTAGCTTCTCCAGGTCATCATTCAGTCATACCTCTATTCATTAAATCTTGGGTTTAGAATACTACCCTACCCACTTCCTAATTTCTACTCCTTAAAAGTCAACTTTCAATCACTTTTAAAGGATGTCTTTGTTTTTTGCCATGAAATGTTTCTAAGTAACATGCTTATTGTTAATTGATTTTCAAACTTTAGATACAATCTACTGACTGCTTACTGTAGAAGAAAAATATTAGCTCTCAACACCCTCCCCTCACAATTTTCACATTTCTCTTCTCTTTATTCCTCAATATTTATTTTACTTTTTTGTTAGAGCAATACTTAGTGTTTACATTATTATGTATATGTAACTATTTTTCAGAGTTTGGCAATATAGTTATAATGACTATATTTCCTTTCTTGTATCATATTTTAATTTCCTTGGTGTTAATATGTATCATTTTTTTGTTTCTTTGTGCAATTTTCTATGTAATTATTAATAAGTCATTCCCAAACTTTTGAGTTCCATTAAAACTCTCTTTTCAATATGCTTAAACTAATGGTTCCTATTAAATAAATAGGAAAAAGATTTTGATTATGCTAATAAAGATAAGCACACTATTAATTTATATTATTTTACAATATTAATTTCAAGTTTTATTTAAATAGACATATATCCACAAAATTCTTGAAAACTTGGCAATGAAGCTTAGGAAAACTACTTGCAAAATTAAAGAAATAATATGGATTACCTTTAGCAAAACTATGCCTTGTCTTCTTTTAAAAAAACCTATGCTTAAATAACTATCTTCAATACTCAACACTTAAACAAAATGAAGTTCTTTTAAAAAAAAAAAAATGAAGCACAGAGGAAATTTTTAGGATTTCACTGAAATTCAACCAATGTAATAAAACTATTTGGAAACAACTGGACTAATCAATGAATCCTACAGCGGTATGAAATAGTGTTGCTCCTTGTAAAGAAAACTCTTAGATACTTTTAAGATTCTAAGAAGCTTAACTATAAATAGAAGCAAACTCTTAAGCTCTGGTGTGACAGGCAATTTAATGAATTATAGCCTGAAGCCAGACTGATTACATTCCCAGCTCCACCATTTACGAGTTCTATGATCTTATGGAAATTCTTTAAACCTTACAGTACCTGTTTCCTCATCTGCAAAAGGAGGATGCTAATAAGTGTATATATATTTGGGGAGAGGGGTGTTATAAAGACTAAATAAGTTAATCCATGCAAAAATAATTGGAGAGATTAACTGGAGAGAAAAATAATTGGAGAGAAGAAAGGAGAGAGGGAAAGGAAAAGATGAGAAAAAAGAAAGGGTGTGCTATGGACTGAATATTTGTGCCCGCTCGAAATGTTTATGTTGAAGCCTAAATTCCCAATGTGATGGTATTTGTAGGTGGGTGTTTGGGAGGTAATTAGGTCATAAGGGTAGAGATCTCATGAAATGGATTAACACCATTATAAGAAGAGACATGAGAAAAATTATCTCTTTACTCTTTACTATATCACTACACAATGAGAAGACAGCCAATAGCAAACCAAGAAGCAGGCTCTCACTGGACAACAAATCTGCCAGCACGCTGATCTTGAACTTTTCACCCTCCAGAGAGGTGAGAAACAAGTGTTGGTTGTTTAAGCCACCCAGCCTATGGTAGTTTGTTATAGAAGTCCAAACTGACTAAGACAGAGTGGGAGAGAGTTGATGGGAGGGGAAGATCAAGACAGAGAAAAATGCATGTGTGATAAACACTCAGAACCATAGACAGTGAGATCCTAGGGAAGAATACCACCAAGATTATGCATTTTACAGTAAGCTGCTTATTTAAAAAATACCAGTATAGCCTATAATATAGAAATGGAATTCTGTAAAATATCAAATAAATAGATATAGCTTTTGTTTCTTTCCTATCCACCCAAAAAAGATATAATTAATGTAGGATAGTTGAAACTATAAAAATGCACTCATCTCTAGAAGAGAACTTTAATATTACCTGTACAGAAAAATACTTCACTTCATCAAACTTAATTATAGCGTTCTTTTCATTATAGCTATATAGTTTGTTTTGTAATAGCAAGCTACGAATTTTTGTACATTTCACAATATTGTTTATAGAGATGCGAATGAACAAATTATTGTAATGCTGCCAACTGACTGAAATACAGAGATATTTAGGAAGCAAATTTTGTTGTAATTGAATAATAACACATATAAAATTAGTCCATTAAACAATTCAGGCCAAAACCTAAGAATCAATCAAATAAATAAAGAAGGTAATTGTAGAGCATATTAAAAAATAAAAAGTCCTGTAAAATAGTACTTTTGCCCATCAATGGTAGGCACAATATAAGTTGGAAAAGGTTGATTACTTCCTTAGATCATTTCTCATATTTTTATCTTCACATTATGACTTCTTTGCAAATTTTTCTTTATTTTTAAGATGACTAAACATTTACAATATATAGCTGAAATTTTTTAAGCATAACTATATAGAAATTCAAAAATTCAAAAAATATGTCATTCGAGAGTAATTTATTTTTAATTTTAAGACAAAATTTAAAGCTGCATGCTATTCTAATTCATCACTTCACTATATACTTCACTTATACCACATTGGTCTGTATTTTTATCTTTCATAGCAATTGATGCAGTAAAACAATTTCGTTTTTATGATTTAACTAATCATCTTCAAAAATCTCTTTATATAAAATTCTCTTCAATAATTCACTCATATAAAAAAGAAATAACATGTCTTCATAATGAGACGAGGTGTATGCTATGATATATCTATTACTAGGCATTCAGCTTATTTAAAGGCACCAAGATAAATAAATCCTTTAAACAATGTTTAAGAGAAGCATAGTTATTACTTAGAAATAAATTAGTATTACTTAGAAATAAATTAGTAACATATATTTCAAGCAGACATGTATTTTTCCTTTAAGTCATATGGTGATTAAGGTAGGTTATAGATGGCTAAAAGTCTTTTATCACTCTCTACATCAAAAAGTAGAATTGATTTTCCTTTGCTCTTGAATCTGGCCTGGACTTTTGACTACTTTAACATGCAATAGACATGACCACAGCCTGCGTGAGAAAGGCACCAGTCAGGGTGCAAAATTTAAGGGGATGCCAAAAACTTCAGTAACAAAGATAAATCACATTTTAATGTAATATATTTTTAAATCAAAATTAATACAGGAAAAAATGATGAAAGACAAGAACCTAGGAATATACAGAAAGGTCTAACCATTTCAGCATCCAGGCTGAGTGCAGGCATCTTCCCTAAGCATCAGACACACAAATGAGCCATTTTAGATATTCCAGCCATTTAAATATTCTAGCCAGATGACTGCAGCCTCACCTGTGATGATATGAATAAGTACCACCTAGTGAATGCACAGATAGTGGCTGATAATAAAATAATTACTGTTTTTTTTTTTTTGCACCACCCAATGAATGCACAGATAGTAGCTGATAATAAGATAATTACTGTTTTTTTGTTTTTTTTTTTATAATTGACCTAGGCTTTATTTTTCTGTTGTTTTAGTTTTGTTTTATTTTAAATAGTTACTGTTTTAAGCCATTAAGTCTTAGAGCATATTATAATGCAGTGAAACAGTAATATATGATTATAGTATGGTTCCGAAGTAAAAAGAAAGGATACTCTTAGGCGTAAAATGTCTGCAATTCTTTATACGAACAGCCAGGCAGCCAACCTATAATAATCAAAATTTTCTGTTGTTTTTATTTTATTTTATATTAAATAGTTACTGTTTTAAGCCATTAAGTCTTAGAGCATATTATAATGCAGTGAAACAGTAATATATGATTATAGTATGGTTCCGAAGTAAAAAGAAAGGATACTCTTAGGCGTAAAATGTCTGCAATTCTTTATACGAACAGCCAGGCAGCCAACCTATAATAATCAAAATAAAAACACAGCAAATGAATTTTCAAAAGTTAACTTTTCTTCATTTTACTCAACACCAAACTATATATTTTGAAAAAGCTCCATTTTTTCTCTTTAGAAATATTGTTTCTCATTAGAAATATCTAGTTGTTGGAAAATGCCAGAAAGCAGAAATACAGAAGAAAAATAGCATTTATTTAAAATAAACCTAAAATAAATAAGAATACAAAGAAAAACAATGGTTCACTACCAACTTAACTCCAACCATCACTCTTTGAATCATTTTTATTTTATATTAAGTGAGAACTGATAAAATGTAGCATCTTGCATATAATAAGCTTTGCTTCAGATAAGCTTTTTTATCCAGTATCCTAAACCACTTTATTCATTCAACAATCATTCACTGACTATAATATGCCATGGCCTTATTCAAAGTGTTTCTAAATCTTAAAGAAAATTATAACTTGTGTTTAACCATAAAATTAAATACAAAATGAATACAGGAACACTTGAATGCTAATTTGCAGTATTCACCAAATATATTTAGCCATGTTTGGTTTTAAAAAATGAGTAAAAACAACACCAATATTAGATTAAACATTGTGAAACAAATTAAATGGCCCAATAGTATTTTTAAATGTAATGTAAGTAATTTTAAAGATTTGGTTTTAGAACAATACAGAAAAAGATGTTAACATTCAATATTTAATTAAAAGACTACTGTATCTGAATGATGAAATCCTAAAGAAGAAAATACTGTGGTTAATTCTTAAGGAAACATAGTTATGAAATGTTACATTAAAGGAAAGGTTCAAAGTGGGGGGGATGTATGTTGTTACATAATTTAGTCAGAATTTTAAATGGTATTGCCATAGGTGATTCCATGAATCATTTTTTATTTCTTAAAATTGGGTTGTACAAATGAGGGTTAAACAGGAAGTACAGCTACAATTTTGTATTGTATAATTCTATATATTAACATTGTCATAAATCATTGACTGCCAGCTAAGTATCTCAACATGAAGCCTTGCGCAACTACCTTAACTTTATGTCTCAATACCTCCTTATACTTTTACATGATAGATCTATACACTATAGAAAAGAGAATAAATTTCTATTCAAGTATAGGAAAAGATTTAACACTCAAAAATATAATAATGATCATCAACAGGCTGTAGATAACAAATGTTGCCACAGATTCTGAGACTGAACATCCTCACTCCCCACTCTCAAATACACATTTAAAACAGAAAAGCAGCCAGAAAGCTGTTCACAAAAGCACTTTATGTGCCCAACTTTAAGACACAGCTTTTTCACATTTTTTCTGAAAACAAGATGTGACTACCAGAAACAGGAGTAGTGAGCTGTGTTGTAGTTATCATTGTTTACACATGTACTAACCTTGCCAAATATCTCAGAATAAATCACAGAACTTTCAGAGGGAAAGTCATGTGACTAAATCATGCACTGAGAGGAACTATCAATCACGTGCCAAATATCTTTCTGTCAAAAACTTCCAGCTGACTTTTAAGAGAAGCTTTTTCATGTCTAGCAACATGTAATTCAAATAAGGAAAATGCAAACTATGAAATTAGGAAGTGTGAGTGAAAGAAAAATCTTCAAAATGTCAGTTCTAAAGAGAAATAAATGTCAGCCAAAGTGATTTCAAAGAATCTTTTCTAAGTTTAGAATTGAACAATGAGGGCTTTTACTCCAACTTTGTTTGTGAGAGAGGAAAAAAGTGTTAGATAATTATATAGATAAATGCACACCATGGTATTTTGTAAAAACGAAAATGTATTAATTAACATAGGCTTACTTCTTCCCTCAGAAAGATGATATTAAATTCATCACATATTTTTTATTCAAGAAAAGGTATTACTATATGATAGGAGCTAGAGAAATTTATTTCATACCCATTAACTATTCTAATAGTGTTCTAAAAAGAAAGATCACTGTAAAAGAATACCACAATATTTGACAGTTCTAAATGTGCATACACCCTCATGTCCTATATTCTACAGCACCGAAAAGAGAAAACAGATTTTTCTGGTTCTCAGCCTATATATCAGGTATGTTTGTGTGTATGTGTATGATTGTTAAGTATATTTGCTTTTGTTTTGGAGTTTATTATTTTTTGGATGAGGGAGAGGTGTGGGGTTAATTTTCAAAATGTAGCTCAAAGGTTCCTAAATCTGATACTAAATACAATTATCTAAAGGTCTCAATAAAAATAATGATTTCTTGGCCCCATTCTCAGATTCTAAGTTAGCAGATTGTACGTGGGGCCCAAGAATCAATGTGTTTATAAAGTATTCTAGGTGATTCTGATGTAACTTGAGGTTGGGAATTGCTAGTGCAGAAAACATTTTTTCTTCTGTGAATCAGGATGTTTTCCACAATTTCACTGATCATTAGAATGCTTTTCTGACTTATAAAAGTAAAAAATTCATGAATATATTATTAGAGTACCATTTTCTATATATTCTTTTTGATTACCAAATAATAAACATTAACTAGTCTTTGTATGAGATAAGAATACCTTGTATAGGTTTACTGAAGATTAGTCATACATACCACGTCCCCAAATGGCACCAAATTTGGTGCCTCAGGTGTTACTTCTAGTTCTTTACTTTCAGACCCTCTAAGAGTTCTTCTCAGCATCTACAATGTAAATAAATTAATTTAAGACTGTAGATGGTAAAGAACATAACTAGATAAAATATTTCTTCAATTTTATGAGTATCTAGTAAGTAGCAGGTACTATTCTAGGAAGTGGGATATTAATATGACTAGAAAACTCATCCCTACCCTTGATATGTTTATCAGTAAGTTAGCAGAAAAACAAAATGTATATAATTAAACATGAAATTATTCAGGGAATCAGCAAAGAAAAAAGGGCATAGTAGCGTGAACAATGAGTTCTTGCAAACTAAAAATGACCATCATTGCCACACTCCAGTCTTAATCTGATGTCGACTAGGTACTGTAACCCATAGATGGTAGTGAACCTACTTGTAAGTTATCCCAATATTCCTTCTGTCTTTGTTCATAAGGGCTCTCTCTGGTCACTATACACAATGGTTAGCCTTTAAAAATTACAAGAAATTTTAATATAGATTTTAAAAGCAAAATAAAGAGAAAAGGAAGGGAAAGGATTGGAAGAGAGAAGTGAGGAGAATAGGGAAAAACTGCCTATTAAAAACATCCAACTTGAAAAGGAGAAGTAATGTATCCCTAACCTTAGTTGAACTTGAATTAACATGGCCTTATTTATAAGCACTAACTTCCCAGGAATCTTTGCTGTTGTTATGTCTTTAAAAAAATCACTTGTTCGATTTTTTAAAATAGACAATAAATCTTTAGATACGTTGAAATTTTGTTTTAAAGCATATACTACTTTAGTGGTATTAAAAAAATTGTTTTACATATCTTGGATTATTTTGTCATTGTTTCAGCCGACTGGTTTAATGTGTTTTATACATAGATAATTTAATTTGTAGTTTAAGGTAACTGAGTGACAATTACCATATTGTCACAGAAATATTGGACTGTGGTACATGATATGTGTATTTAACATGGAACTTCAAGCTATCTAATGTTTTTGTAATCTTATTATGGAAGTCTACTTTAAATGGGCACTTTATTATTTTTGAATGGGCATTTTAATAAATACAAAATAACTGAGGGAAAAACTCCTTAGCATTTTTAGGTTCAACTTATCCTTAACAAATTGGCAAAAATACTACTTCCCCCCTTCATTTTACTACCTTTTTACTTTTTCTTCCTCATTTGAGCAAAGCTCTCTTCAGTGACAATGTGAGCAAAACAATTCTTTGCCAAAATTCTGTTAGAACTTTGAACGAAAGTTCTAAAGACAAGTCTCATAAAGCCTCTGACACCACCTAGAATTTCTCCTGAACCTGCAGAGAATTTCTATTTGTTAATTCCACTATGCCTATCACCTCTGTCACTTTGGGGCCACCTTGAACTTCTAAAAGTCTCTGGGCACGTCTATGAAAAAGTCTGTACATTCACTCACATTGTTCTGCACTTCTTCCCCAAAGACCTTTTGACCTACTCTCCTCCATCTCACACTTTTCTCTGAAAACCCACTAGCCTACCTGCTTACCTTTTCCAAGGATATTCCTATTTCCTAGCCCTAGCAGAAACCTCGCTATCCTTACATGTGGTTACCATTTACAGCAATGTGCCTGGTGTTGTGCTGATTCCAGCTTGAAGTGTTCCTGCCCTCAAGAAGCGCAGCCTGGTGTTGAAGACAGGTAGGTGGAAAAATGCAGCTTTGCTATAAGAAAAACAACTGCCAAGAAGAAAGAATTTTTTTCTTTGCTGTTTCTTTGCCCAACCCAGATCTTCTAAATAAGATCTTCTTATTTGATGAGTCAGATCTTGCTATTCATTGTGCAAGTTACAGGTACATGGAATTGTTAACTCTAGAAATGACTTGTTTTAATGCTCTTTTTCCCTGCCCCAGCTCAAGAGCAATGACTTCTTTTCCCCCTTTGTCATTTTCTGTCCCCGTGAAACAAGGACACTCACAGCTGGGACTCGGGATTATCCCCTAGTGAGTGGGAGAAAAATATCAGAAATTAACAATTTCTTTAACAAATAAGAAAGTAAACACATACAGCTTGACTCTAAGCAGTAGACAAATATTCTGAGGAAAAGTGTGAGTTTCATGCTCAGAAGGGTTCACATCAGTGCCTCATGCTTTCAGGGTATTGTGTTTGCTGGTTAAGTAGATTGACCAATTACATGCCTTTAAGGAGTAGAATATTTTTTACAAATAGATGAGGACTGATCTTAAAAAATTTCATGGCAAAGCAATTTTATAAGTCGGCAAACATAACGATGTATATGCACTTTGCTTTTACAAAAGGCAAATGTACCAAATTTGCTAACCTTTTCTATGATAACAAATAGCTGTTAGTAGTATGTAAATTAGCAAATATTTTAAAATATATATTTCTTAATCTGTCCTTTCAGAGTAAGGTGATGACATTTTAATGAATGTGAAAACAACTATCTCTTTGAAATAAAGTAATGTTGAGGTGAGAAAAGTTATAAAACTACTGGAAATACTTCCATCTAATGTTATTTTGTGTGTGCAAATGTGTTACGATCACTCTAGAAGCTCATGGTATTATTAAACTCTAAAGACTCAGAAACAATTTTATTTGATTAAAAATCTCACAAATGAAGTGTTTCATCAGGTTAAGAGACTATTTTTCCTTTTAAATATTAAAAAATGCAATTCCTTCCAATTAGTTTGCCAGAACTAATTAATCAGAGAACACTTTACTGATAAAATCTGAACTAAAAAGTTTGCATAACAGAACAGAAATGACAAATGACAAGTGATTAGGCAGAACCAAGATGCACCTCTTCCATTTCAGAATTTCAAATCTTTGAAGGTATCTTTTTCAAATATAATAGCATTAAAAACAAATATTGAAATAAATGTGCCTTAGAACCAGACCTTCAAATCACTACATAACAAAGTCTTAAATCATGCTTTTCAAAAAGAGTGATGTTTATGAGTTTTGTACCACTAATAAATAAAATGGAATTAAAAATCATTTTTAAAACATTGCTTATTTATTATTTTTAATTTTTGTCTATTATAGAATTCATATATAATAAATTGCAGTATATTTATGTAATATATAAATAAATATACAAACACTGGTGACAGATGTTCATATGTTTTTTACTGACAAGATTGTGCAATAAAAGAAATTGGAGACTACTGCTATAGAGTCACATCTTTATGCCTATAACTATGTCGCACTTTCCTAAATCTGCCTTTCTGGAGGATTTAAACTGCCAGTTTCTATGCTATGCCCACCTTCGCATAGTCTGCTTAGAATGAAGGACGCTCACCATTCCCATTTGATGCCCCCCACTGCCTTCAATTTAAGATGGAGGTAGGAGTTGCCTAATAGCTTTCAGTTTAGACTCATTACCAGAAAGCCTTGATAAAGCTGAGACTTAGTTCCTCATTCGATTGTCCTCTTTTTTGCAAATACTAACAGTCACAAAAAGAGGAGCAAGGGGTAAGATCCTAGTACCAAGCCCCATTCAGGATGCCTAAGAACTACCTCAGAGACCCAGGGCAAATAAGAAGGGTGGGGAGAGAGAGTTAGGAAAGGAGGAGATGATACTTGAAGTGGATGTGAAGAAGAGGGAGAGAGGCCTAGACAGAATAAGTGTAAAAGCCTAAAGAAGCAAGACACAATTTATGTTATTGTATTCTGTTATATTGATATAATATGTATACTTAAACGATATAAACAATTTATCCATGGGGGATACGTAACAAGACCCCCAGTGGATGCCTGAAACCGCAGATTGCATTGAACCCTGTATATATACTATGTTTTCTCCTATACATGCATACCTATGATAAAGTCCAATTTATAAATTAGGCACAGTAAGAGATTAGCAACAACTAAGAATATATAGAACAATTATAACAATAAAAGTTATGTGAATGTGGTCACTCGTTTCAGGGGATTCTTGCTGAAGTCTTTGTATGGTCTCTGTACTTTCTGGCACCACACGTTGCCATCAACTAGAACGTGCTTTCTGTTCATGTCCTCTCCCCACAAATTTAATGCCTTTCCACCTTGACTAAGCACCCACCTCACACTGTGACCTTAACTTTTGCAGTTTGAGGTGTGATGGCAAAACTAGCATGAATTTCTTTTTCCTTCTTCACAATTTCATGGATAAAAGATTCATTCTTAATTGTAAATCTTAGCAACCTCAGGATATCATTTTTCTCCCTTATTAAGTCAAGAACTTTCACCTTTTAACTTAAAAGGAAGCACTTTACGGTTTCCCTTTGGCATATCCAAATCCCCAGCATCACTACTCACATGTTTTTGGGGTATTATTAAGGTTTACTTGAACACAAGCACTGCAATACCATGGCAGTTGACCTGATAACCTAGACAGCTACTATGGGAATAGTGGATGGGTAGAGTATATGGTACGGATATGCTGGACAAAGGAATGATTCAGGTCCCGGTCAGGATGAAGAGGGATGGAGCAATATTTCATCACTCTACTCAGAACAGCGTGCAATTTAAAACTAATGAATTGTTTATTTCTGGAATTTTCCATTTAATATTTTCAGGCCATGGTTGACTGTGGGTAACTGAAACTGCAGAAAGCAAAACTGTGGATAAAGGAGACTACCATATATTTGTATATTGTATATAAATATTATCACATTATGTTATATTTATATAATGTAGAAGTATATTATATATACTTATATTTATGTAATAAAGCCTATTATATATAAAATTCACCACATTAAATTGAGCTACAGATTAAATGCAATCAAAATCAAAGTCCCAACAAGCTTTCCTATGGAAATTGATGAGCTTTTCCAAAAATTAATATGGAAGTGAAAGGCCAAGACTAGCCAAGACAATCTTGAAGGAAAAAAACAGGGTGAAATACTTAAAAATTAAAGAAACAGACAGTCTGGAAACAGACCGACACATTTGCAGACACTTCATTTGTGACAAAGTTGGCAAGCAGAATAGTGAGGAAAAAATCCTCTCAGCTGGGTCAAGGAGAAATTGCCACACACACAAAAAGAATAAAAGAACAAAAGTAGGGGAGAGAGA